GCACGTACAATTGAAAGGCTGTTTTCCATTTTCTCCATCGCTGCGAAACTGAATGCGGATCTCCTTTAACTTGAAAAGGCTGCAAACTGCCTACTTTCACAGCCACTGAGGTCGACACCCCACTACTCGTGCTCGCCGAACTGCCATCTCCCTCACTTGATTCTGCGCCAGGCATAGTAAAGAAGTATGTCCCTTCCAAACACAAAATGGTAAAAGAAACTAGCACAAAGACATTCCTCACCATCCCATCCTTGTCGCCAGATGTGATATTTGGATATACGGCAATAAAAACCTTCGATGTTCTTTGATTTCAATACTTAAATCTACACACTATCCACATGGCAGCCAACGAGTACCACAACAACAACTTTCGGTAGGCATCACGGGCTGCCTACAAACACAACCTTTTCACACTCCTGGTTCAATACACTAGACTTTCCACACACGGTCACAATTATTCTACCACAGAAGTAAGACATACCACGAATAGTCAAAGTCTAATGATGGTTGATAATATGCACGAGCATACGTCACAACCATCACCCAACGAAAATCATTATCCTTTGGCAGCATCAGTTGTTTGTATATTTTTACTGGCTGGGGGAAAACTCAGCGGTGAAGTGTATTTGAATAGATGTTCACAACTGTTCATAACCATTGTTTTCATAACATTTAGCGACAGACTCATCAGCCTATAACGAACAGGTTGTACGAATTCACTCTAGTATTTCGTCGCCTTTTATCTTAAAGTGAGAACTTCAAGCGCTGAAATTTACGAACATGTTAACTTTTGGCATTGTTGACTTGAGTTACGTGTTGAGCACTTTTGTTTGCCTTTCTCAGCCTTACATGAATTTCTCAAGTAACCTTGTGAGGGTTGTTCAAATTCGACCCAAGCCATCCGAACTCGCTCCATTCATTAATAATGTCAGACTTTCCTTTAAAATTGACAAATTAAACGACACCTACCAGTAAATTGAAGTTTGATTGTAAGTTTAAGTTTGATTGGAATTCTATGGAAGTTTGATTTTAATGCCATCGAGTCATGAAAGTGCACCAAGGGATCACGTGAGATTGCTGAGCGCATGTGCAACATTGGTATTTCCAGCCGTAAGTGAATGTTGCGGGGAACACATACAGAATATGCCCACATGGCCTCAGACCACAGGCAGCCCAAGCTCTCTTTGAGAATCACGCAAGGAACACAATTTGCATATCGATTTATAAGGATTTGTATGGGATTTTCTACAAGATAGCCATAGAGATAGTTAAAAGTGAAAATATTAAATAAAAATGGCTTACCTTATTCCATACGTGTATTGCTTGCTCCTGGTGTCGTTATTTTACCGATTTCACTTGATTTAAGCGGTTTTTTTTAATCCTGGTTTTCTCTTCT